CATTACTCCTTCACTGATATTGATGTCACTGACTACATATTTTTCTACTCTATATTTCTTAACAGATGTTCAGTTTGAGTTTTTCTCCTTTGTCTTTAAATTTGGTAACAGAATTAAGCATTACATGCACCATCACACTGTCACTACAGTATTCTGTGTTTGTTTATGTAAACAAAGAAAAAATACCAAAAAAAACCCTCAGAATTTATTCATTAAAAAATTGTGGGCCAGGCTCGGTGGCTCAGCCTATAATCCCAGCACTTTGGAAGGCTAAGACAAGTGGATTGCCTGAGCCCACTGACTTAAGACCAGTCCAGGAAACTTGGCAAGACCTTGTGTCTGCAATAAATCAAAAAAATAAGCCAGGCATGGTAGCATATGCCTGTAGTTCTGGCTATTGGAAGGCTGAGGCAGAAGGATTGCTTGAGTCCAGCAGGTCAATGCTAGGGTGACCGTGAACATGTCACTGCACTCCAGCCTGGGAGACAGAATGAGACTCCAACCTACCCAAGGAAAAATATTGTGTATTCCTTTTTGAATGTCAGTTACCTTCAAAGTACTGTTTTTGATATGATACTCCTGTCAAGATGCTTTCTCTTCTTCTGTGAAGCAAGTTACAGCTCATCAGTTTTCATGCCTTTCAGAGCCTCCACTGTGTTCTGTTTTATGTCTTCCAGATTGACACAGTGCTTCTTTTTGAGGACTTTTCTCAAGCAGTGAAACACTAAAAATGTCACAGAGTGAGATTGGGTGAATAGAGAGTGAGGCACAGGATTCATGCTGTTTTTGGACAGAAACTACTGAATACCCAGCATAGTGTGGGCAGGTACATGGCCATGGTGAAAGAACCAGTCACCTGTTTGCCACAAGACTGTTTATTCCACAGTGCTGCCTCTCACAACAGCAACAGTAGGTACGTCAATGCTGATCAATTCATAGAACACTTACTTAGCCATGAATGCCTGTACTACAAGGGGTCCCTGTGCAAAATGATAATTCCAGGGTGTTTTTGGCCTTGTGTACCATTGCAAAAGGCTATACTTTTGATTTTGTGATCCTTTTTAGAATCAGTTTAGCGTTCAATGAAAAGAACTTCCCTTAACATTTGTTATATGGGATGCCTAGTAATTAATTTTTAGCTTTTCTTTATCTTGAAAAGTCTTTTTATTTTTGAAGGATATTTGTGCTAAATCTAATATTCTTGGTTGGTAGTTTTTGTTTATTCAGCATACTTGCTATATAACCCAAATCCCTTATGATCTGCAAGGTGTCAGTACTGAGAAATCCCTTGACGATCACATGGGAGCACACTTATGGATGAACCATCAATTTTATCTTTCTTTCTTTAAGCATCTCTCATCTAAGTCTTTTTTTTCCCAATAAAAAAAGTCATTATCTGGCAGTGACTGAGCTAAAACTGACTATCTGAGAAATTTAATTCTGGGACCACCGCACACTCTACTGCCCCCCCCCCACAGCAAGGTTTTCCTTCATCTTCCAGGGTGTCAGTTCTCACCAGGACCACTCACCTGAAGTAGGTCACAATTTTGATCTGTGATGTCCTTTTTCTGACCCCAAATGTGTAAAGTTTACTGGACACCAATCAGTCTCCAACAACAATTGTTTGTCCAATAATTCAATTCTGTCATCACCCCAAAGTAGCACAAAATCCTAAGTTCAGGGCTCAGTCCCACAACATTGCCCGCACTGCTCATGCCAGTTACAAAATTCAGGAGCCTTCTTTGCTTCTGAAAAACTGCTTATAAAACAGGGTTTCCTCAACCCCCTCCTCTGGTCCAATAATTTGATGAAATATTCATTCACAGAACTCAGTAAAATATTCACTTATTTTGTCCAGTTTATTATAAAGAATACAACTCAGAAACAAAGTGAAAGAGAGGAACAAGGGTAGAGACAGTGGCAAGGGACATGGGTAGGAAGGGAATTCTGATAAATAGCTATGGTTTAAAATGTCCCATCATATATATTCTGTAAGACCAGATTGCTGCAAAGAATCCCCCTTCCCATGAGAACTTAAGTGATGTCCCCCTTTTCCTTACCTTAAAGCCACTCACAGACACTCCAATTTCCCATTTTCTGCTTCATAAATAAATAGATAAACAGCTAGGGTTAGGGTTATGATCTTGTACTTGAGGAAGGAAAACTATCCCAAAGGACAAGAAAACCCACCTCAGGGAGATGGTGGAAGAATCCACAAATCAAAGAGAACCTCATACACACAGGAGAGCAAGTGCAGGTACTTGTGAGAGGGTGGGAAGACTGACCCAAAATAAATAGATTTCATTTTGAAATAAATAAAGGCATATTTTCAAAATGTAGGTACAACTAGACTAGATAATCCTACCTAAGAAAAAATTCCAGAGAAGTGGGGGGAAAAGGAAAAAAATGGTTGCATCTTAGGTTAATGTGGCTCAGGTCAGAAGGAATGTCATGTGTTTAAAACTTGCAAACCAGCCGGGCTCGGTGGCTCAGCCTGTAATCCTAGTGCTTTGGGAGACTGAGGTGAGTGGATTGCCTGAGCCTGGCTCAAGACCCACCTGGGCAACTTGGCGAGACCTCATCTCTACAATAAATAAAAAAATCAGCTGGGTGTGGTAGTGCATGCCTGTAGTTCTGGCTACTCAGAAGGCTGAGGCGGAAGGATCACTGGAGCCCAGCAGGTCGAGGCTGCGGTGGCCAGGAGTGGCCACTGCACTCCAGTCTGGGTGACAGAGTGAGACTCCAACTCAAAAACAAAAACAAAAGCAAAAAACTTGCAAACCATCCTGCTGTCCTTGTGATGGTCCTGCCTAATGAGTTTGTTTCAACTATTTTTTTTCTTTCTGTGATATTCAATGGGTCTGCAGGACACTGCTCCCTCCATAGCCTCCTCTGTTCTCTTCATCCATACTGCTTAGTTGCCATGAAATGTTCTCATAGCGAATGTATGTCCTGCAATATTAAATATGTTCCCTTGTGGCTGAGAATCATGAGAAGGCCAGGGACCCAAGAATCCCATTGGAGATGGGGTAATGGGGTAGATACTCAATCCCAGTGAGTATGGCAACATGTGCCTTTTTTGTGTTTTGTTTGAGTTGGGTCTCCCTCTGTTGCACAGGCTCAAGTGCAGTGACACACTCATGGCCACCACAGTCTGGCTAATTTTTTTATTTATTGTAGAGATGAGGTCTCACTTAGTTGCCAGGGCTGGTCTCATACCTGTGCGTTCAGGAAATATTCTTGCCACGGCCTCCAAAAGTGCTGGGATTATAGGCATGAGTCTTGGCACCTGGCCAGAACTTGCACTATTAAGATTCTGTCAGCCAGGCTCAGTGGCTCAACCTGTAATACTGCACTTTGGGAGGCTGAAGTGAGTGGATTGCCTGAGTCAGCAGATTTGAGACCTGCCTGGGCAACTTGATGAGACCTCATCTCTACAGTAAATCAAAAAAGTAGCCGGGCATGGTAGCGTGTGCCTGTAATTCCAGCTACTTGGAAGGCTAAGCCAGAAGGATCACCGGAGCCCAGCAGGCCAAGGCTGTGGTGGCCAGAAGCATGCCACCACACCCCAATCTGGTCGACAGAGTAAGATTCCACCTCAAAAAAAAAAAAGTTTCTGTCTAGGTGCTCTATCGTCTCCATGCAGAACATGATTAATAAAATGTACATTTAAGCAGGACAGCAGTTACTGCCAAAAATACCTCAGGAAATTCCAAAAAAGAATACTTAGGGCTAGACTTGGTGGCTCAGCCTATAATCCCAGCACTTTGGGAATCCGAGGAGAGTCCTGTTTCAAAGATGTTGCCTTTAATCTGAGATTGGAATATGGCATGAGGTGTGATGATATAGAATTTCATTTTAAGCAATTTTTATGTAGGGTTGGGAGGAGACACTCTGCCAGATTATAGCTGTTGTTCGAGCAGCTTTCATCATCAAACTACATTCTGTAAACATTATTTTCTGTTCACCATAGATCAGACAATAGTCTTGATTAAAAAATTTTAACAAATTGAGCAACATCTTGCTGTTTTTAGTTTTCTTTATACTTCAGCTCTGAAAAATTTGAAAGAAGAACCCACCTAAGACCGCAAGTTCAAGACCCATCCAGGCAAGTTGACAAGACCTTGTCTCTACAATAAATCAAAAATTAGCTGGGCCTGGTAGCCTGTGCCTATACTTCTGGCTCCTTGGTGACAGAGTGAGACTCCAACTAAAAAAAAAGAAAAAAGAATAATTAGAAGAGTCTTACACTCTAGGATGCTAAAAACAAACAATATAAATACACTTTTAGAGATTACATGCCATGGCAGAGAACTGTAGGCTGACTTCTGTCTAAAACATTTTCTTTGTTATTGAATTGAAGTTACAATTTACATACTGGCCGGGCACGGTGGCTCAGTTTGTAATCTCCACATTTTGGGAGAATGAGGTGAGATAATTGCCTGAGTCTGGGGGTTCAAGACCAGTTTGGGCAACAGTGAGACCTCGTCTCTACAGCAAATCACTACTGAGCATGGTTGTATGCACTTGTAGTTCTAGCTACTTGGAAGGCTGAGATGGAAGGATGCCTAAGCCCAGCAGGTTGAAGCTGTGGTGGCCAGGAGCATGCCACTGCACTCCACTCTGGATGGCCGAGACTACAACTAAAAAATAAAAATAAAAAATAAAACTTGATGAGGACATTCCAACTCTCTAGGAGTTTTCCATCTGAGCAGTATATGCAACTTATTCTGTGTGATGAAAACACTGAAAAATGTACATGCCTGCATTGGTGTCCAAATTTATGCTGTATCCTTCACAAAAATAGCGTGTCCATACTGGTTTAGTGGATTTTATTTCATCCTTTTTTCTCAGACTTGTTGCATTAGAGAATATTTCTGTGTTACAAATTATCTTATTGCATAATTCTAGTTGACATATCAGCTAGACCCTGTTTACTTCAAACTTGCTTTACCTAGAGGCATGGTCAATTGGTAAATGTGTGTTCTTCTTGTTTTCAGGGACTGTTGACAAAGATGTGGCCATAGAATTCTCTCCAGAGGAGTGGTAATACCTAGACCCCACTCATCAGATATTGCCCTGGAATGTGATGTTAGAGAAGCACAGAAACTTTGTTTTCCTAGATGAGAACTGTCTTAACACAAAATTCCTACTTTATACTAAGGATTTCATATCCTTTTTTGTAGAATGTTTTCTGGTAAATTCTACCTCGTGCAAATGAGTTTCAGATTCCTGCTATCAAATAAAACTTGATGATTTGTTAACATAGAAAAGAAAAAATTAAAGATGTTTCATTTTGACATGAGGCATTCTCTATTTTGAATTGACATGTGTCCTATCTATATTAATGGTAAGTCCAGAATTTAGTCACATAGAATATCATTGTCCATACCTCAATCCAATTGATACCATAAGTTTTTTCTCACTAGTACTGAGCTAAGAATCCACAAATTTATGGCTGGGAGTGATGGCTCAAGCCTGTAATCCCAGGACTTTGGGAGGCCAAGGTGAGAGGATTGCCTAAGCCCATGGGTTAGTGAACAACCTGGGAGATGTGACAAGGTCTCATCTCTACAATAAATCAACAAATTAGCTGAGTGTGGTAGCATGCACCTGTAGTTCTGGCTATGTGGAATGCTGAGAGGGAAGAATCATATAACCTCAGCAGGCCAAGCCCGGGGATGCCTGGGTAACAAAATGAAATTCCAACTCAAAAATAAAAACCCCACAAATTTAAAATTCTATCCAACTGTTCTAAAGGTTCTATTGGGAAACAGTATTTGGGGATAATTTTCCAGAATCTTGTATTATATGTTCTCTACTGAGCACAGTACTAGGTTTGTAATCAGAGAATCCCAGCTACGGTCATGTTATTTTTCTAATAAAACAGGACTTGCTGTCTCTAATTCAGACCTGGTCACATGTCTAGAGCAAAGGAAAGAGCCCTGGCTTGTGAGGAGACTCAGCACATTAGCCCAACTTCCAGGTAGGTGAGAATGAATGAAGCAGATTACACAGGTCAAAGAAGCAGAACCTGAAATATGGTTTGGGAAGGTGGCCTGCCCTAGTGGAAATGGTTTCTGAGAATTCTTTCTGAGATTCTTTCTCTTTTGTTCCACAAAGGGACATCTATTATTCCATGTTCTGAAATTCTCCAAAACTCTACTTCTTCAGTGATCTCATTTCAAGTTTAGAGGACATGAAAGTCCACTTAATGGTTTGTTAGGATCTGCATGATCTGCTTACCTTTCTGATGCTTTTAAAGATGTGCAAATATCTGCTTATTTAGTTAGAAAATCCATGTCAAACTATTTTTTAAATTTTATTTTTGCATCATGTTGGAAATTGTGAGAGTAGTGATTTTGCTATTTGATTCAGAAATGTTAAGAAGCCCAGACAGATGTTATATGGATTCTACTTTATGATTTTCTATCCTAGGGAGGTTTTCAATGTGATTTTATTCAAGTTTATACTCCATAATTCTACCAGGACACAAACTATCTTTCTTGATAGAAGAAAATCTGTTATTTTACTTAATTTTTTTTTTTTAGTATAAACTGAGATTGGTAGTTTTTCTATATATCCAAATTCTAAAGTATACTATATCACACAGAGCATTGGTAAACATATTAAACTCCCAGATGTTACCTTGTTTCTTAATAACTCTTTATAAAATATTGTTTAGAATGATTGACTAGTATACATATATATGTACACCCATTTTGTGTGTTTATGTATGTTATTAACATCTGATTTTTATACATAAATAAGATATGTACAGCCATATGTTGTGTAGTTGTGTATAATACAATTATCTGATATACCTATATATTGTGAAATGATTGCAATTATGCTAATGAACAAAGCCATCGAGCCTGGCCACCTTGTTTCTTAATAACACTTATTTTATAATTTTCTTTCATTTAGTATGAAGATTAGGACAAGTCTACATATATGCATGTATATGTACACCCATGTATATGTGTTAATGTGTCTTTTTTTTTTTTTTTTTTTTGAGTTGGAGTCTCACTCTGTCACCCAGACTGGAGTGCAGTGGCCACTCCCAGTCACTGCAGCCTCGACCTGCTGGGCTCTGGTGATCCTTCCACCTCAGCTTCCAAGTAGCCAGAATTACAGGTGTGCGCCACCACACCCGACTGATTTTTTGATTTATTGTAGAGATGAGGTCTCGCCTGCCCAGGTGGGTCTCGAATCCACAGGCTCAGGCAATTCACTCACCTCAGCCTCCCAAAGGCATGGGATTACAGGCTGAGCCACTGAGCCTGGCTTCATGTGTCATTAATATCTGATTTTTTTATACATAAATAAGAAATGTATAACTACATGTGTATAATGTAATAATTTGATATGCCTATATATCGTAAAATGATGATTACAATTATGATAATGTACATATTAAAAAGCTTTCGAATTGCCATTTCTGTGTTGTATAAGGAGCACACATAATGGCTATTATTTTAGCAAATTTTGTAAGCATACAAGACATTATTCTTTACCAGAAGTCATTAGTTCCTTAAAATGCAGTGATAATTGAAATTTTGTATCCATTAAAAAACATCTCCTGCCGGGCTCGGTGGCTCAGCCTGTAATCCTGTGCCTTTGGGAGGCTGAGGTGAGTGGATTGCCTGAGCCCACGGGTTCAAGACCCTGCTGGGCAACTCACCGAGACCTCATCTCTACAATAAATCAAAAATTAGCCAGGCGTGGTAGCATGTGCCTGTAATTCCGGCTACTCGGAAGGCTGAGGCAGAAGGATCGCCGGAGCCCAGCAGGTTGAGGCTGCGGTGGCCGGGAGCTGCCACTGCATTCCAATCTGGGTGACACAGTGAGACTCCAACTCAAAAAAAAAATAATCTCCTATTTTTCACACCTCTAGGCCCTGGTGACCACCATTGTACTTTCTTCCTCTGAGTGCAGTATTTTTTATTTCACACATGAGTGAGATGATGCAGTAATTTTTTTCTGAATTGGAGTCTCACTGTTACCCAGGCAGGAGTGCAGTGGCATGCTAATGGCCACTGCTGACATGATCTGCTGGGCTAAGGTGATCCTTTTGCCTCAGTCTTCCAAGTAGCTGGAAGTACATGTGCTCACTACCATGTCCAGCTTTTTTTTTTTTTATTGTACATACAAGTTCTCACCAAGTTGCCCATTATGGTCTTGCACCCCTGAACTCAGACAATCCTCTTGACACTTCCCAAGTGCTAGGATTACAGGCTTGAGCCACTGTGCCTGGCCTCACGTAGCATTTTTGTGTGTGTACCTGGTTCATTTCACTTAGCATAATGTCTTACAGTTTCATCCATAAGACTGAAATTGCAGAATTCTTTAATTTTCTTATGGCTGAATAATATGCTATTGTGTATATATATATATAATGTTTTCCTAATCAACATAGAATCCAAAAATAATACTGAAGAGAAACCTTACAATGATGAAAAATGTGGCAAAGCCTTTCACTCTCATTCAGGACTTGCTCAACATGTCAAGATCCATACTGGAAGCAAACACTACAAATGTGAAAAATGTGGCAAAAACTTTTGTACTCACAAAAAATGTACTCAGGCCATACACTCACCTTTGGCTCCCAAATTGTTGATCCTTCCCCCTCAGGCTTCCAATCAGCTGGAACTACAGGCATGCAACACCATGCTTGGCTACTTTTTATTTATTTATTGTAGAAATATGGTTTCACCATGTTGCCCAGGCTGGTCTTGAACCTGTTAGCTCAGTCAATCCTCTCACCTCCACCTTAAGTGCTGAGATTACATGCATGCCTTAGGGCACCTGGCTAATCTCAGTGTTCTTTCATGTACTAAGATTTGTTTTGTGTTCTGATATGTTGTCTATCTAGGAGAATGTGCTATGTTCAACTGAATATGCAGTATATGATGATGTTGATTGGAGAGTTCTGTGAAAGACTTTTCACTCTAAATTGTCCCTAGTGTTGTTCAAATCCTCTAAATCCTTATTGATCTTTTATCTGGAATTTCAAGTCATTATTGAAAGTAAGGTATTCAATTATTTCACAGTTACTGTGCTGCTGTGCATTTTTTGCTTTATTTTGACCACATTTGCTTCATATATTTGGAACCATGGTATCAGTCGAATACACATTTGTACCTGCTATTGATTGCTAATAAATAGATTTTTTAAAATTATTATGTAACATCATTTTTTTGCTTTTTGTGAGAGTATTTGGTTTTTGAGTCAAAGTCTCACTGTATTACCCAGGCTGTAGTACAATGGTATGCTCACGGGGCTTGTAACCTTGGCCTACTGGGTTCAAGCAATTCTTCCTCCTGGGTCTCCCAAGTAGCTGTAATTACAGGCACACACCACCATGCTCAGCTAATTTTTTTTTACTTATTATAGAGACACGGTCTCTTTAATTTGTCCACAGTGGTCTTGAACCACTCACCTCAGGCTATCCTCTTGCTTCCACCTCCCAAAGAAGTGACAATTTTTTAACTCAATGATTCTGTCTCATAAAATGTTATAATCCTGGCTTTTTTGATAAGATTTGCATAGCATACATTAAGTTCTATACATATAAGCCTTTAAGTTGTGATCTTTCAAAAATGTGAATGTGTTCCCTTGTTCAATCATGTGACTTTTGTGTATTGTTTTACTTTCTTTTCTGTTTGTTTTCTACATATCATCTCTGAAGCCTTATAAAGCTATTACAGAACAATAGTATATAGTCAACTGTGTAAGTTTGGTGCCATGGCTAACTTTGTTGAATGCACTCTCAATATGGAGTTTGTTTGTATGGAGGAAACATATCGTATCTTTTTCCATCCTATTTCTTTCAGGCTGTTTGAAACTTTACAACTAAAGTAAATCACTTAAAGCTAGTAGATTGTCAGATCATTTTGTTTGTTAATCCATCATTCATTTCTAGTGATTAGGGCATTTAATGAATTTACATTTAAAGTAATTGCTCAAGAGAAAGGTTTACTGAAAGGACAGATTGAGAAGAGGAAGTCATTTTTTATCTTGTTTTTAAACCCTAACACAATGATGGGAAAGTGGAGGCTATGTCCTGGAGAGATGCATTTTTTATCTTGTTCCTAAACCTTAACACAATGACGAGAAAGTAGAGGCTGTGTCCTGGAGAAATACATACTCTAGGTAAAGATTAACTTTGCTGACTTTGTCTTCTCAGAAACACAGACTCCTTAAGCATGACCAGTTTGGGCCTAATGTAATTTGTCTTTTTAGAAACCCAGACTTCTCAAGCATGACCAGTACCAACCCATTGTGTACTCAGTGCATG